AGGGAGGGGAGGAAGGAAGGAAGGAAGGACAGGAGGAAGGAAGGAAGGAAGAAGAAGAGAGGAGAGAGGAAGAAGGAGGGAGGAGGAGAAGGAAGAGGGAGGGAGGGAGGAAGGAAGGAGGTTAGGGGAGGGAGGGAGGAAGGACGAGGGAAGGAGGGAGGGGGAAGTTAAGGAAGGAGAGGAGGAAGGAAGGAATGAGGAAGGAGAGGAACGGGAGGAAGGAAGGAAGGAAGAAGGAGGGAGGGAGGAGGAGAGGACGAGGGAGTGAGGGAGGGAGGAAGGAAGAGAGGTGAGGGAGGAAGGAAGGACAGGATGAGGAGGAGACAGTGAAGAAGGAAGGAGAGGAGGAGGGAGGAAGGAGAAGGAGGAGATGGAGGAAGGAAAGGGGAGAGGGAAAGGAAGGAAGTGAACGGAAAGAGGGAGGGAGGGGGAAGAAAAGGGAGGGAGAGAGAGGAAGAAGACGAGGGAGGGAGAGAGGAGGGAGAAGGACCGTGGTCTGAGGAGGAGGAATGCAAGAGAGGAGAGGAGGGAAGTGAAGGAGAGGGAGGACGGAGAGGAGGGAAGGAGGAGGAGGGAGGGAGGAGACATGACCGTGGTCCACGTGCTTGTTGTGACCCTGGGCTCTCCCGTCTCTGGCCTGCAGCTCTGGCTGGTCTCTGCCCTCCAGACCAGGCAGGATCCTGAGCGCCGTCCCTGTCCCTCCCTCTGCCCCTGCCCCACCCCTGGGGCTCCCCAGCCCGCCCGCCCCCTCTGGATTCTGGCGCTCGTGCCACCAGGGCCTTCCCCCGCACTCTTGGCCACTGTTTCTTTTCTGGCACTAGCCCCGTGCCCAGTGACAGTCTCAGCTCACATGTCCCGTCTGGGAAGCCTCCCTGAGCTCTCCTTGGGCAATGGGCTCCCCAGGCGCAGGGCCAGGCTGCCTTGTGCCTTCTGTAGCCCCAGCGCCTGGAACAATGCCTGCACATAGTAGGCGCTCAATAAACGGGGTGAGCAAATGCTGTGGTCTTCCCCTGAGCGACCGTACAGCCCTGGAGCTTTCCTGCCCTAGAGACAGTCACGCTGAAGTGTCACCATCTGAGTGACGGTCCCCTCCGACTGGGCTGGACCTCTGAGGATGGGGTCGGTCACATCTGTCTCCTCCGGGGAGTCAGCGGGAGCCCTCCGCCCGCCCCGCCCCCACGCGGCCAGGGCCGAGCCGGCTCACCGTGGACGATGAGGTAGACCTGAGTGGTGTAGGGCTGGTGGCGGGTCTGGAAGGAGCAGGTGTAGAGGCCCTCGTCGCCCAGCCCCACCTCGGTGATGAGGATGGAGAACTCCTCGGGGGTGTTGATGAGCAGCCGCACCCGCGGGTCGCTGGTCCAGCGGTCGTTGCCCGCGTACAGGATGTTGGAGCGGTTCAGCCAGGCCACGCGCGTCACGTGCTCGTCGATGAAGCAGCTGCCAGGGAGGACGAGGGTAGGAGTTTCCTCCACCCACCCCGCCCGGCCACCCAGGGTGCCATCGAGGGGGCAGGAGGCCCACGGCATCTCCTGGCGCCACCACAACCCTGAGGTGGGTGTTGCTGCGCCCACTGTACAGGGGTAAACCGAGCCCCAGAGAGGGAAAGCTGTGAGCGCCGAGTGCACGGAATGATGGCAGACGGTTCCTGCGGGACTGTTGTGTGTCACAGGCCCAAGGAGAGGGGGTCACACTCTGGGAGAGAAGAATAGAGACACAGAAGGAGGAGGCCGGAGACCCAGAGAGACAGGGGACAGACACCCAGAGAGACAGGGGACAGACACCCAGAGAGACAGGGGACAGACACCAGAGAGACAGGGGACAGGGGACAGAGACCCAGAGAGGGAGGGGACAGAGACCCAGAGGGAGAGGGGACAGAGACCCAGAGAGAGAGAGACAGAGACCCAGACAGAGGGGACAGAGACCCAGGGAGGGAGGCAGGGGTCCGGGAAACAGGAATGCTGGCTCTCATTTGTTAAGCAGTCACAGCATGTGGCCCTCTCTGAGCAGGGTGTTGTACGAGCTCTTGGAGTCTTGCAGTGACCCACGTGGCAGTTACCCTCTCTGTACCCCTTTGACAGAGGGGACTCTGAGGCCCGGGGTGTTCGCACCCTACCATCCTGGCTCCTGAGGGAGCCCAGGCATTCCCATCCTCGCTGTCCCTAAGGTCCGGCCCCTCCCAGGAAGGCGGGGCTCTGGGCGGGAGGGGCTGGTCGCTGGGAGGTACCTGAGGGTGGCGTTGTCGCCTTCGCACACCGTGTAGTTGTCCGCGGGAGAGCTGAACTCCAGGCTCTGGGACAGCAGCCCTAGGAAGGGAGGGCTCGGCTCAGCGTGCTCAGCAGGGCTGGGCGTGGCGGGGCGGCACGTGTGCACCCGCGCCCTGTGGACAGCGACATCCGCGCCCGCCCCCCCGCACGTATTCACTGGTGTTTCAGCGGCACACCGGCAGTCACGGTCAGCAGGCGCACGCGACACCCAGCTCCCCCCCACACACACACACACACTGACTCAAGACTGGGATGGGTAGGCTCATGCGGACACGCAAACCTACACACCTCCAGAGACACAAAACAACACCCAGATGCAACACGCAAACACGCAGATAGACACATACACAGATGCATGTGTGCACACACACACAGACACACATAGATACAGATACATGTGTACACATGTGTGTACCTGCATATACTTGCACACAGAGACTCACATGCACACATACACATGTGCACACATGACATGCACACATAGACACATGTACACAGACACACAGATATGTGAGTATACAGGCCACACATGCACATAGACACATGTGTATCTAGAGCACATATAAATTCACAGAGTATACAGGGACCTACATGTCAACCTGCACAAAGTCACAGTTATGTAGTTACACACGCACACATATACACAGACACATTTATACTCATTTACAGATACACAATATATATGAACAGACACATGTACACAGATACACATGTACACAACACAAACACATGCACACATACATATACATACAAATACACATGTTCATAGGCACACATATAAATAACCACAGGTACAGTGCACAGACACACATGTACATATGCACAGGAGTACACAGTATACAGACATACATATATACATACTGAACATATGTACACCGATACAAACGCATATGCACAGGTCCACAGGTAACACACACACATGCACACATGTATACATACACATATTCCTTCAGAAACATACACATTAGTTCAGACACATGACAGAGCCGGCTGCATACAGACACTCAGCAGGAACATATTTGTACACAGACATGAAGACACACAGGCACAAATACATGTACACAGTCAGGCACACATACATGCACTCAGAACACATCTCTCACAGACACACAAATGCCCTTAGACACACAAACCTTCGCAGACACACTGTGCGCCCACGCCCGGCACACACGGCAGCAGCACTGCCCCCCCCCAGCTGTGTCTCTGTGCCCCGTGGCCGGCGGCTGGCCCTGGGCCAGGCAGAGGGGGCTGGGCACACGGCGGCGGAGGGGCACCAGGCAGAGCGGGGGGCGGAGGCCGGCCGATGACCTTGGCGGCTGGACTGGGAGGGCCCTGCGCGGCCGCCCTGCCCCATCGGGCGAGGAGCTAATCAATCCAATGAATTAATCGCCCGTGCCGGCCCCACGACTGCCGGGGCCTCTCCGTCAGCTGCCCCTCTGGACGGGGCAGGACAGAGCCGGTGGCAGTGGGCCGGGCAGGCCCTGGGTTTGGGGCTGGGCCCCGCAGCCCCTCCCTGGGCTCCGCCAGCGCCACTGCTGGGCTTTGAGAGCCGGCCAGAGAGGGGCGCCCCCCCGCGGCGCACGGCACGCTGCCGCAGCAGCCCTGGCACAGCAGGGGATGGCCCGCACACGGGTGTCGGACACACGCAGAGGCCTGGGCGAGACACAGACTTCCCCAGGCCAAGAGATGGTCGCCATGCCGACTGTGGCCTTGCCCAGAGAGACGGGTGCACGCCCAGCTGTTAGAGGCAAGGACCCTCAAAGACCCTCAACTCCCCTATGACTTGTCCTACGCACGGGCCTCGCCCTGGAAAAATTCCTAGGACAAAAACAACACCCCACCCTCCAGCTATAGCTCCGAAAAGAATGCGTTCCAAAATGCTCCAGGGTGTGCCAACTGCAATTGTTCCCGACCACCTGCCAGGTTGGGGTCGAGTAATCAGTCACAAACCTCAATACCGATAAGATACTGATTGGGGCTGATTAGCCCAAACCCAAGACTCACCGTCACCCCACTGCATTTTTTGTTTCTACTTCCTTGTTTCTGTATGCTTATAAAACCTACTAAGAATCTAAGTAAAGCAGACCTTGACAAGCCTTTGCTTGGTCTCGTTCCTTTCTCTCGCTCATCTCTTTCAGGCACGGTCCCCCTTGACCCCCACGAGTAACAGAAGGTCCCGCGGGCCGGGACACCCAGCCCTGTAGACACACGCAGCGACACGCATACACACACAAGATAGTTCCACCCCCTCAGTCACACGCACGGCTGTGGCCCTGCTCGAGGGACAGGTGCACATGTGACAGTGACACCTACACACAGCCCGGCGCAGGCACCCAGCAGCAGGTGGGTCGGAAAGGCAGTTCCGTCTCAGGAGCAGCCATATTGCCACCCTCAGCCACAAACGGCCAGTCTCAGGCCAACGACCACTGCACTGAGTCACCCGCCACATGCAGCCGGCTCCCACACGGCTCTGCCCACCCAGTGGCCCCCCACACGTGGCTGCGGAGTCCCAGCAGGCTACGGCCTCCCCAGCAGCCAGCAGCCAGGCCCCCACCCCCACTTTGGAGGGTCCTGAGTCCGACCTCGCAAAGCCACAGCCCGGGCAACAAGACGGTGACTCCATCACGCCCCTCCAACACAAGGGGCTGCCCTGGGCCGAGAACCAGGTCATGTCACCTATCAGCAGATCACACATGGCCACTCACACACACTCAGGGAGTTGGAAAGTCACGTACAGAGACACACCTGGCCAAAAGGCAGTCACAGGTAGTGGCGCGTTCGGTGCTGTATTCAGTGCTCTGGGAACGGTCACGTGTGAGCACCGAGGTCCCTTCCTAGGCTGGTCCAGACCAACAGACAGCCACGCGCGCACACACACACACACACACACCCTAGGCCAGGGTTCCTAAACCTCGGCACTGCTGGCACGTGGGGCCGCTGTCCCGTGCTCTGCAGGACGTTGGCAGCACCCCTGGTCTGGACCTGCTCCATGCCAACAGCCCCCTCCCCCCACAGTGGTGACAACCAGAAAAGGCCTCCAGACATTGCCAGCAGCGCTAGGGCCAAGATCACACTCCACCCCCCACTGAGAGCCTTCACCCAGAGGAACCAGCTAAAGCTGGGGCAACAGGGCGCTGTCCAAGGTGCCCCAGGGCTCAGGGGACCCAGGGCTGCTCGCTCAGCTGGTGACCTGAACTGGTGTCACCCACAGAGCTGAGGACACATGCTGGGGTGGGGGTAGCCCCCGCAGAGGCAGGCGGGACTCAACCACGCATCCTGGCGGACATAACACACACGCACACGCACACACACCTTGCCCCTCTCTACTCTCCGCGGCCTGCAGGACCCAGGCCCTGAGCCTTCAGCCCGGCACGCGCGGTCCAGCTCTGCGCGGCCCTCTTCACCCCATCCAACGCTCCCCCCCACCCCGGCCCCAGCATGGGGCCCTCCCAGGCACCCGCCGCAGTGGCCCATGTGAGCTGCTGCCTGCTCCCCGAGCTCGGATCAGGCGTGCCTTGGATCAGCGTTGCCTGCCTCCCTGTCAGCCTCGGGGCCTGGCTTGTGGGCAGTTCACGAGGGCCTTTGATTCCTGGTCAGTGTGTCTGCAAATTTGGATGTCACAAAGGCCCCAGCCTCTAGGAGTAGGAGGCCTGCTCCCTGCTGTGTGACCTTGGGCAAGCCCCTTTCCCTCTCTGGGCTTGGCGGTCAGGCTAGCCATTCATTTGTTCAGGGCCGACCTTGGAGTCCGTGACCCGTTCAGTCCCAGGGCCTGGCCCCTGCCTCTGTCGCAGACCCGGGACTGTGTCTGCGTCTGCTTCCCGCCAGGGCAGGGCCTGGCCCACAGGAGGCCTCAAGAAATGTTCAGTGTATCGGCGCACAAGCAGTGCACACGAGGGCCACTGTGGAAACTCCGCCTGGAACACTAACTCAGTTCAGTGCAGCCCTCCGGGCCTGGCCTGTGTTCCCGCAAGGCCTGGACTACCTCGTTAGAACTCAGCCGAATGCACTGTGGCACCGTCTGGGTCTGGCTTCCCCATATGGCTGGAAGATTCTCGAGAGCAGAGCCTGGTTCTCCCTCAGGTGTGTCCCCAGCATTTCCCAGCATGGGGCCTGGCCACCAGAGGCCTTGGGAACTATTTGTTGAATGAATGAAACATGCGTGCCCGTGACACTCCTCCAATTGTTGAACTCCTGCTCACTCTTCAAGATCCCAGTGCAAATGCCCCTTCCTCCAGGAAGACCTCCCTGACTGTTCAAGGCAGAGTCCCCACTCTTTCTTCTGGGCATCCTTGGGCTGAGATGGTGTCCATGGTGCTTCTCTCACCTGGCCTGGAGCTCGGTGAGGGCCTGCCACGTGGCCGTGTCCTCCAGGGCAGGGCCCACCTCACAGCTTTGAAGCAATGTGGAATGGATGGTCCCCAGAGACAGACGGTAAAGCCCTGCAGAGGCTGGGCTGGAAGATCAAACGTCTGTCCCACCACCTCCCAGCTGGGTGACCCCCCCATCCCTCGGCCAGCCTGAGCCTCAGTTTCCCCAACTCTATGGTGAAAAATAAAAGTTCTTCCCTCCAAGGGTGTTTGAGGGGGAATCCATGGGAATGTGCAAGCAAAGCGTTTAGCTCACCGCTCTGCATGCAGGGAGCCCAGTAAGTGCCAGCTGCTCCCAGCAGCACCTTCTTTTTAAAGAAACCTCTATTGCTATCCCTGGTTTGGCGACAGTATCCCCGGATGCCAGGCGGGGCCGGGTCTGGGTTGTGCAGACGCCCCGTAGCATCTGCCCATAACACCAACCTGGCAACACCGGGAGGCCGGGGGAATGGGCGGTGGCCAGGTGGCCGCGTTCAAATCCCTGCTCTGCCACCAAGCTGCAGAGGTTACTTCACCTCTCTGGGACTCGGTTTTCCCACCTGTAAATGGGACCCCCTCATCTGGTTCGGGCAGGATGGAAAGGGGAAATGCAAGCAAAGGGTTGGACGGGCGGCAGTCAGGTGCTCGGGGACAGCTGGCTGTGGGACGCTGGTGTGCAGGCACCAGCCTGCGACCGGGAGGGCGGTGTCCCGTGGCGACTGCGGGCTGGCCCAGGTCCCTGTCCTCGGGGCAGTCACAGCCGGGCGAGCAGGCCTCGAGCCTGCCTGACAGCCGAGGAGTGAAGGTCGCAGGCGGTGAGTCCCCTCCAGAGGAGAGGCCGCTAACGAGCGGGCTGACCTTGAGGGGGCGCCAGAACCTCCTGCCGCCCTGCAAAGGGCCTGAGGCAACGCCGGGACCCGCCAGCAGGGGCGCTCTCACCCCCAGCCCTAGAAGCCACAGGCGGGGCCTGGGCGCCAGGAGCGAGGGCCGTGCGGGTCACTGGGGGTGAGCACGCCAGTTCAGGCCAGGGCGGGGTCAGGAGCCCGGGTGGGGCACGGAGGAGGGCTGTGTGGCCCGGGTGGGGGGGACTGTGAAAGGGGCTGGGCTGGGCGTGACTGGCATCCAGGAACCCCCAGACTGGGAAGTCTGAGGGTCTTGGCTCACGAATCCCGGGACTCCAGACGCTGCGTGCTGGCCTCCGCCTTTCTGCTGGTTCCCGGGGTCTTACAGGGCGACTTCTCTTCCTTCCGGTCTTTTTTTCTTTTTTCTTTTTTTTGAGACAGAGTCTCGCTTTGTTGCCCAGGCTAGAGTGAGCGCCGTGGTGTCAGCCTAGCTCACAGCAACCTCAGACTCCTGGGCTCAAGCGATCCTCCTGCCTCAGCCTCCTGAGTAGCTGGGACTACAGACATGCGCCACCATGCCCAGCTAATTTTTTCCATATTTTTTTAGTCGTCCAGCTAATTTCTTTCTATTTATAGTAGAGACGGGGTCTCGCTCTTGCTCAGGCTGGTTTCAAACTGCTGACCTTGAGTGATCCTCTAGCCTCGGCCTCTCGGAGTGCTAGGATCACAGGCGTGTGTGAGCCACCACGCCCGGCCATTCCTTCAGGTCTTAACTCCACTCTGACCTGCTCAGAGACGGCTGCCTCAACCACCTGAGCTCAAAGGGCCAAGTCACTCTTACCCTCTTGACAATACTCAGCACCCTCGGAAATGACCTGTGGACTTGTTTGTTTGCTTTCTGATTTTGGTTTTTGATCTCTCTCTTCCCATACAGCTCCAAGGGCGGGGCTCCTCCTGGCTCACCTACTGCCCGGTACATTCGCCAGGTGAGCCACAAGCAAAGCCTGGCAGACCGGACCGGGAGCATGGTGGTCCCGCGGAGAACTGGTCATGGCAGTGCCAGGACTCAAATCCAGGGCCCTCCCAGCTGCCATCACCCACCAGCTGCCCAAGAAGCAAAGGAAACGCCCACCTCGCTGGCAGCTACTGAAGTTGCCATTTGATTTTGTTGAGTTGTTTAAAAAGATGACATTGTAGCACTTTTGTAAATGACTATGTATATGTGAGGGTGCGTGCTGGCATAAATGGTTGAGAAAAAGATTGAAGATAGATTAATATTTACGGATGCCAGAGAGGTACCGTTAAGTGGAAAAAGGCCAGTTGCAGAGAAATGGGCATATTTTGTTTCTATTTTGGGAAGAAAACATCAACCAACAAACCAATCCTTTAATGACGTTAAACCTCTGTGTGTCCTGTCTGAGTCTGTGTAAGTGAGAGAAAGCTGTGCCAGGACTCGCTCCAGAGAGTGGGTGTGAGGGACAGGTGTGGCCGGTGGGCCTGCTCTTATCAAAGGTGGATTGTTTTGTTGTGGGCATTCCTCTCCTCTTCCAACTTGGGAAACAACAGGGATAAAAGAGAAGAGAAGCTGCTATTTTACAGATCTCGCCTTGGGCTTTTTGTCAGATCCTGCGAGTGGGGATGTCCTCCTGGCACCTGTTCTGTCTCAGCTCACCCACCCGTCTGCTCTCGCCCTCAGTTCTCGGATGGAGAACCTCAGACCACAGGTGGGAAAGGACCTGACCAAGGTCACAGGCTGCTTCCTGGCTCTAATGACTATAGGGACTTCAAGAGGGAAAGTGGAAAGTGGGAAGTTACCTGGAAAGTAAAGGGAGAAGGATGGAGGGAGGAAGGGAGAGAAAGAGGAGGGAGGAAGGGAGGGGAGAAAGAGGTCACAAAGGGCACAGGGGTGGGGAAGGAAAAGGGGAGGAGGAGGGCAAGGAGATAAGGACAAGGCAGAAGGAAACAGAAGGGAGTGAGGATTAGGGTCCAGGGAGGGAGGGAGCGAGGACTCACAGGGGGACAGTGGGCAACAGCCTGAGAGGGAGGGAGAGGCAGCCCTGGGACTGTGCTGAGACCAGCAGGGATGGAGACACAAGACCCAGAGACACAGACAGATGAGAGGGAATGTCACCAGGGAATAACATGAGATTCACGCCTCCAAAATGGCAGAGACACAGAGACCTAAAGAGACACATGACAGAGACACACACACACAGAGATGGGGGGGGGTCAGAGAATTCAGACTGGTCAGGTGGGGGAAGAACCAGCGAAGAGCTGAGGCTCTGGTCCGCTCTGGTCCTCTCGGTCCCTGGCCTGAGGTCCCTCTGGTGCAGCGCACCTGTGCGCGGGACAGGGACGCCCCGTGGGGATGGGACTGTGCGCGTGGCTGTGGTGCCTGCAGGCGCAGCACGGGGCAGACGCTGTGACAGTGTTTTTATGTGTGACCCAGTCTGTGTGGCTGCCTCCCTGAGACTGGGGGCAGAGGTGTCTCTGTCGGGCTCTTGGCTGTCCCCAGTTGTGTGTCCCTGACTCTGTGACTCTGAGTTCAGGGCAGGGCCTGGGAAACCTCCAGAAGCACGGAATGAACCCCATTCCCTGCCCCCAGGACCACCCAGCACCTCCTGCCTTTCTGTCTCCCTCCCTTTTCCTTGGGGGTCGTCTCCTTGGCCCCTCCCTGCCAGGCCCCGCTGGAGAGACACAGACCCGCCCCCCAGCAGAGACTCCCTCCCAGCTCCACTGGGACCCCCAGGCGGAGCCAGCCCTCTGACCCCGCATTAACCCTTCCCTCCCCTCTGTCCTTCATGTGTCCACCTCTCACGCTCTGTCCAGCCCCAGGCACCCAGATATGGGATCAGAGCTTCTGCACTGTCCCAGCCCAGCACCCCAGCTTCAGGGATCGCCTGCCCCATTCCCTCACATAGCTGCAGCCCCCAAACACGAACACTTCATCTCAGCCTGCATGACCCTGCTGGGGAACTGCAGCCCCTTCCCCTCTTCCTGGCCCTGGGACCTGGGTCTGTGGACGCCCTTGCCCCCCCTTACCGACCCGGGGAGACACCCATCCCGCCCCTCTGCCCACAGACGCACCCCAGCCCCCAGGCTGGGACCTCCTGGGGGACCCTGTCCACGCAGAGATCAAGACCCCTGATGGGGCACCGTCCCTGTCCCCAACCCCGGCTCAGTTCGGAGGTCCCGCCTGGGACCCTCACTCCACGGTCGGGGCCTCCCTGATCAAGCCGCAGACTCGACCCTCTCGCCTGCCCGGAGAACCGACCTCCGCCCTTAGGCCCAGGCTCGCCCGGGCGCAGGCCCTGGGACGCGGACCCCTGCGCCGGGCACAGACCCTGAGGGCCCAGGACCCCCTTCCCCGCCGGGGGATGCAGCCCCCGCCCCCGGCCCAGACCCCGGCGTCCCGGGCCCGGCTTCCCGCCCGGGGACGCAGCTCCCCACCCCCACCCCAAGCCCCTGCCCAGGACCCCGGCGTCCCGGCCGAGCCCCCCGCCCCCGGCGCTGCGGTACCTCGGCTGATGACGGCCAGGCCAGCTAGGGCGGCGGCTGCGAGAAGCCGGAGCCGGGCCCCGGGCGCAGGGGGGGGCATCGCGGCAGCGGTGGCGCGGAGGGGGAGGGGAAAGGGGGGGCCGGTTCGGGGCGCGCAGCCCTGGGGGGAGAGGGGAGGGGGGAGGGCGGACCCGCCTGCGCTGCACCGGGCCCGGGCGGCGGGCGGGGGAGGGGCTGGGGGGGCGCGACGAGGCGGCCGGAGCTGCTGCAGACTCAGGGAGGGGGGCGGCGCTGACGGGCAGGGAGACCGGCCAATCAGGAAAGGCGGGGGGCCGGGGAGGCGGGGCCGAGGGGGGTGCTTGTTGGAGGGAGAGGCCTTTGTTACTGCGGCCGGGCCCCCACCCCCCGCCCGGGGCGTCCCCACGTCTGTCCACCGGGTCTCCAGAACCTCGGGTCTGGGCATCTAAAACCCAGCTCCTCCTCCTTCAGGACCCAATCTCACCCTCCCATAGAACTAGGAGTCCGGCCTCCACCGCCAGCCCTCCTCCCTCACACCAAGGGTCCAGGCCCCGACCCCTCCTCCCTCAGACCCAGGGATTCAGCCCAGCCCTCCCTCCCTCAGACCCAGGGGTCCTGGTCCCCCAGCCCCTCCTCAGACCTCCCTCAGACCCAGTGGTCCCTTCCCCCAGCCCCCCTCCCCAGACCAGGGTCCTGTCCCAGCCCTCCTCCCTCAGACCCAGGGTCCAGCCCAGCCCTCCCCCTCAGACCCAGGGATTCAGCCTCCAGCCCTCCTCCCTACAGACCCAGGGTCCTGTCCCCCTGCCCCCTCCCTCCCCAGACCCAGGGTCACAGCCCCAGCCCCTCCTCCCCTCATGACCTCAGGAATTCAGCCCCAGTCCTCCTCCCCTCAGACCCATGGTCCAGCCCCAGCCCCTCAACTCCCTCAAGACCAGGGGTCCTGTCCCTGCCCCCTCAACCCCAGACCCAGGGTCAGCCCCAGCCCCTCCTCCCAATCAGACCCAGGGTATATTTTTATTTAATATTCAGCCCCAGCCCTCCTCCCTCAGACCCAGGGGTCCTGTCCCCTGCCCCCTCCTCCCCAGACCCAGGGTCCTGTCCCCAGCCCTCCTCCCTCAGACCCAGGGTCCAGCCCCAGCCCTCCTCCCTCAGACCCAGGGATTCAGCCCCAGCCCTCCTCCCTCAGACCCAGGGGTCCTGTCCCCTGCCCCTCCTCCCTCAGACCCAGGGTCCAGCCCCAGCCCTCCTCCCTCAGACCCTGGAGTTGGGCCCCCAGCCCCTCTTCCTGTGGGAAACAGTTCACCTCCTCCATCTACTTTTAGGAATAACTAAATACTGACTTTTAGGGTAAAATTTTCTTTCTCCCTCCATCCCAACCCTTGTCCCCAGAATAACAGGACAATGGGAAGTGCCCGGGGGACCTGATCTTGGAGGTGGGGTGGGAAGGAAACCATAATCCACGGTTCAGATGCAAAAAGTCTCGACTCCCCAATTTTTCACTGACTTGGTTGTGTGACCTTGGACAAGTCACTTCTCTTCCCAGAACGACAGTGTCTTCTCCTGCAAGATGGAAGAAAAATCCCTATTTCCTAAGGTCACTGAGAAGAAGAGAGATGCCAGAGGAGCTCCTGACTCCACCCCCGCCGAACAGCCTGTAGTTAGTGCTGTCCTCTCTGCCCACCTTGCACCATTTGCTGAAAAGTCCACCTCCCATCCCTGGCCCCTGGGCACAGGTCTCCAAGGCAGGAGGTAAACAATCTCCGAGCCTACTGTATTTCTGCAGCAGTCCAAGGCAGGAGCTTTCGAAGTCCCCCAGTAGGCGCTGTTCTACCTCAAACACATATCCAACGTCAATTCTTCCCCGCTCTCCTCACAACCAATTTGTCTGCAAGAAGCACTGGCTCTGCCTCCAAAGCAGATCTGGACTTTGTCTCTTTCTTCCTGTTCTAGCCTGGTCTGAACTGCCACCGCCTCTCCCTGTAGGACTCTCTGTGGCACCCAGTGCTCAGGTCTCTCCACCTCTACCTTTGCCTCCACCTTCAGATCAACAACCACTCAACACACGGGCCAGCTAGGGCCACTGCCCACCTCCAGTGCTCAGCCTTCTGCAGCTCCCTTTAACTCATTCCAGCCTCAGGGCCTTTGCACTTGCTGTTGCCTCTGCTAGAATGCTCTTCCCACCAGATTGGCACATGACTTCCTTATCGTGTCGGTCTCGCCTTGCAGAAGGCTTTGTTGCTCATGCTATCCAAAGCAGCCCCCATTCCCAACACGATAACTCTATGTCATACCTCTTCATAGCATTTACAATGTCCTCATTTCGTTTGTTCACTTGTTTACTTTCAGTTGCTCTCCCCATACCCCAACTTCCACAACGTAAGCTACTCTGGGGTATAGAGTCTACCCAACCAGTGACTGACGCATAGTAGGAACTCAATAAATATGGACTGCGTGAATGAGTTGGATGGCTCATTAGCTCCATTTGGATGGAGGGAGGGAACTAGGCCCAGCAAGGGGAAGAGACCCGCCCAAGCCCACACAACCAGGTGGTGCAAGAGCTCGTGGTTCCAGAGTGGCTTGCACTGGCTCAACGTGCTGATTGTTACATTTTCAGAAATTTTGCAAGCCAGATGTTAAACTATCATTAGCTTAAAATTGTCCATGGTGGGAGTGTGTGAACCACAGGAAATGGCAAACACCACAAATCAAGACTTCATATTTTTTGAAGACCCAGTTTATCAGCAGCACACCGCTCCCCAAATCCACTGCGACGCTGGCAAATGCCATGTATCGCTCCCCTTGAATTCAGGGCCATTCGGGCTTAGGGTAGAACAGGAGCACCCTCTTCCTCAACTGCCCCGTCCCAGGCCTGACAGCAACACGAGTGCTTCTGCATGCAGGGACCTTTCCAAGCACTTTTCACACGCTATTTCCTTGGAGCACCACCCTCCCGAAGTGAGCCTTATCTTTGTCCTTATTTCATAGATGAGGAAACAGAGACATACGGAATTTTTAAAACTGCCAAAAGCCATAGACACGTGATTGTGAAATATATACATTTGGTCTTTATTCCTCCCTCCCCTGCCAGCAGCCCCTGGCAGCCTCAGCATGGGGCTGGTCATGGGAAGGAACAAGGCAGAATTAGAGAGTTGGGACTTTCAGCCCAACCTCCAACCTCTGGGGAAAAGAGAGGGGCTGAAGGTTGAGTTGATCACCAGTGGCCAATGATCTAATCAATCATGCCTATGTAATGAAGCCTCCATTAGACCCCGAAGGATTGGGTTCAGGGGCTTCTGGATAGCTGGACACGTGGGGCTACTGGAGGGCGGTGTGCTTGGAGAGGGCGTGGGAGCCCTGAACCTCTCTCCACCTCTCTCCGCCTGTGTCCTCATAATATCCTTTATGATAAACCAGTGAGTATGAGTGAGTGTTTCTCTGAGTTCTGTGAGCTTCTGTGGCACCTTATTTGCACCCAAGGAGGGTCATGGGAATCCCACTCTGTAGTTGTCCAGTCAGAAGCACAGGCAAAACAACCCAGGGCTTGCAGTTGGCTTCTGAGCAGGGACAATCTTATGGGACTGAGCCCTCAGCTTGTGGGATCTGACATTATCTCCAGGTAGATAGTATCAGAGTCGAATTGGAGGACACCCAGCTGGTGCTCAGTGCAGAAATGATTGGTTGCTGGCGGGGAGAACCCCCCACACTCTCTCTCTCTCTCTTTTTTTTTTTTTTTTGAGACAGAGTCTTGCTCTGTTGCCCAGGCTAGAGTGCCGTGGTGTCAGCCTAGCTCACAGCAACCTCCAACTCCTGGGCTCAAGCAATCCTCCTGCCTCAGCCTCCTGAGTAGCTCAGACTACAGGCATGTGCCACCATGCCCGGCTAATTTTTTTTTCTATTTTTAGTAGAGACAGGTTCTCGCTCTTGCTCAGACTGGTCTCGAACTCCTGACCTCAAGCAATCCTCATGCCTTAAGCCCCCCAGAGTCCTGGGATTACAGGCGTGAGCCACCATGCCTGGCTGCCCCATACACTTCTTGATGACCAGAAGTCACAGACGTCTTATGTGTTGATTGTTGAGTCAGAGTGTAGGGGGAAAAAAGACACATTGTTTTTTTTTTCTCTGTAGCCTTAGATTTGGTGTCAGAAGTGGGATGAATAAAATGGAAACCAATGGGGTTAAAACAAAGGTCTTAATACAAGACTGGTGAAGGTTGGGTGGACCAAAGGGAGTCCTTGCTGGTTCCCTGACATTAAAGAGTTCCAAACCAGTTGCTGTATTCACCCCAGTTTGGAGAAATTTAAAAAGCCAGAAGGCAAACATTACAATGTGAAATCTGATTTGAAATTGTGTGGGGCAGCAGCCAGGCAGATTCATGGAGATGAAGATTAACAAACAGGCAAGGATCTGGCCCTCTGTTTGGGATCCAAAGCTTTATATATATAAGTGAATAAAATGGTCAGGGATGGTGAAGAGAAATTCCTGGGACTCTTTGGTACAGAAAGCCCAAGCACTGTGGCATTAAGATCCATTGGTGAATTCCTGGCTTGGGCTACAATTAGATTGGGAGACTGTAAAAATGTAAAGGTTGATAGGATTGTGAAAGTTAGAATGCTTAAATAGGATTTACGTAAAGAAGTTGTCTCCGTTACCTAAATGTTTCATGGGAATGGATATTACGTCTGGCCGGGGAACACTTCCCTTACCTAGTATTGTAAAACCAGAACCTGTCGATGAAGTCCTAATGGAGGCTACAGTCAGGAAAGTGAGGTCGACGGAAGTAAGGTAAAGTTCATAGGGGGGTGGTGTATTTGGATACACTTTCTGCAAAGTGGTTTTGCGGGACCGTATTGTGGGGACAGGCACTGTATCCGACTGGGAAGTGTTTCCACACCTAGTCTTGTAAAACAGAAGGCATGCAGCTCTGCCTTTGAGCAATGTTAATTGGACGTGCTAAATGGGAATGGGTAAGATTGCGTAAGACCATAGTGCCAAATAGAAGCTGGAGCGCTGTTGGGGACAGACTCCCTGTGCCATAGCCCTTAGGGAGCATGACTTGGGCTTATAGCAGAAGCCCATGAGCAACTCCCAGCAACA